TAGTAGTTAGGTAGGGGGGGGGGGGGGGATGCATACATGACATACTTGCATGCATATTCGTACATTCACACACACACCTACTTACCTGAGATGCAGTGATGGAACCAATGGCGGAGATAAAGACCACAAACACCGTGAACAGTGAGAATCCGATACCACAGGCGCCGTAAATGCCCAGATAATAGCCCCAATGCTCGTTCGCAAAGACCGGGTCTGCAGAGGACACTGAGGACCAATGCGACAGCCACACACTACTAGACAGTTGGAATATCTGCACCCGGAAACGCCAGAAAACGAAAGATCGTATTTTTAAACAGAGTGGATGTGTGTTCGCGTGCATATGCACTGAGGTTGGAGGCATTTAAGACAATTTAGACAGTCTGGAATAGGGCTGGATAAGGTTTTACCCCAACACGAGTGGGAAAAGGAAGGACTCCGATAGTAGAAGCGGGGAGATAAGCAAATAATCTACAACGAATACCTGGGAAAAGACACGGAGATATCACAAATCACAAACACATAACAAACCAAAATACATTCGCTTTATATTTGAAATATAAAGAAGAATGGGTGTTGGAATTAATATATAGCAAACAAAACTAGGAGAGGATAAGGTGTTCAACAAAAGAGTATATATATATATATATATATATATATCGTAGATCAAGACATACTAAATATGACAAGCCTCAGAGCGGAATGATTTCCAAGTGGTCAATTACTGCAAACACAATACGTTTTTAAAAAGGCTGTACACTCAGTTTCAACCCAAATATACACGACTGCGTACTGTATATACCAACCGTGCATACAAAAATAACTGAGAGATGCAAACAAGCTGCAACAACACTCCTGGGAAGAGACGCTGAGATGTACAAAACACGCACAGCACTATATGAATGTATTCAGACTCGATAGACACGCAGCAAGGGTGGATGGAACTAAACTGCAACGACCACACCAGGGAGAAGATGGTAATATTCGCAAAACTTATGCAAGGCTATAGAACTAATATGTCACGTCCACACCTGGGAGAAGATGATATATTTCGTAAAACATATGCAAGGCTATAGACCTAATATGTCACGACCACACCTGGGAGAAGATGTTTATATTCATGAAACATATGCAAGGCTATAGACCTAATATGTCACGACCACACCTGGGTGAAGATTATAATATTCGTAAAACATATGCAAGGCTATAGACCTAATATGTCACGACCACACCTGGGAGAAGACGATAATATTCGTAAAACATATGCAAGGCTATAGAATCAATATGGCACGACCACACCTGGGAGAAGATGTAGGTGACGAGAATGGCAATGCACGTCAGGTAGCCCATCGATTCAAAGTACATCATAAACACATTCGCCGACACATTGCCCGTTGCAGCCACCTCGGACTCGATCAGCTGTGTTTGCGAGTGAACATTAGGCTCATAGGTGAGTGGAAAGACCGACAGTAAGACAAGCAAAGGGTTTGTGGACGGGTGAGGGATCATGTGTGCAGTGGAATGTGCTGGTGAAGGTTGTGGGTGGGGACAAGTAAAACGGAGAAATGAGATAATTGTTTAATACAGACATTTATAT